GACAAAAACTAAAAATATAAAAACTTTTTATAAACAAATGTAATAACGGATGGCACCGAGTACGATTTTATTTATTACCGTTAAAATATACGTAGAGGTTATTTTTTATTTGCCGCCAAAGTGCCTCTCGTTGCTATTTATTACACCGTATCTAGTCTGTTATTTCTGAATTTCCATTTGTTTATAGTTTAAATATTTATTTCAGTTTCTCTGGTCTTTATTTGCAATACGGTTTTATTGTCTTGGTTGTTTTAAATTCCTTTCTTTCTCGCCTTGTCATTTTTCCGCATTAAATAAAATTTTTTTCCGGTTAAAATTGTAATGAAGAAATATAGAAGGGACGTACTCGGACTGGTCGAAATGCCGTGGACGTCCTCTGGAGAAATCGACAGTGGCCAGGCCATCTGGTAGGACCGTGAGACCAGACATCAGGGAGTAGTAGACTTCGTATTCGGCCAAGGAGCCAGAAAAGCTCTGCCGGGATACAATGCAAAAAGTCCAAGAATAATTGTGGCAAGATTCCAGGTAATCGAACATATCTATTATCTAAGTTTACGCCTCAACATCAGACAGCTCTCCAGAGGCGATCGAAGCCTTTTCTTTGGAGCCGAACTTGGCTCCTTCCGAACGTCCAAAAAGCGACATTGTGGTTATGACAGGAGACCGGAACGCAAATGTCGGCTAAAAAATAGGGAGAAAATTCGGGTATGGTTACAGAAATGAAAGGAATCTCGCCTTTCATTTCTGTCACCATACCCATAAAGTTTGCTACAGAAATGAAAACTTTATGAGTTTGCTACAGACCAAGATCTGCTAATCTGCAATACAAAATTACAACAAAAGCCATGTCGATAATGGGCAAAGAGATCAGAGGATGGAAAGACTAAAAACTTGATTGATTTTATCCTCATAAGTAAGAGATGGAAATCAGTTGTTCAACTACGTAGATCCTTCCGAAATGCTAATATGGAGTCGGATCATAGCATAATAATAGCCAACTTTAAAGCTAACTGTAAGACTAAGACACCAAGAAAACTTCTTTAAAAAAAGGAACTTAGATAAATTGAGCTCGGATAACATGAAAAACAAAGATCAAGAAGCGCTCAAACAAAAACTAACAAACCACGAACATATACTTTGTATGAATTAAAGGACGAAAACAAATGGTATGAGAGCTGTCGAAGATGGTTTAGAACAGGAAGAGAAATCAGGCAAGGAGAACCAGTATTACCGGCTCTATTTATCACAGGTCTTGAAAGAGTAATGGACACCCTAAAGGAAGACGCAGAAGGAATGTCAATCCGCGAGGATACACCTCAGATTTGCAGATGACCCTGTTATTCTGGGATATAACAGGGAAAAGCTGCTTGAATCCATTAATAAATCGAACAATTAAGGCGAGTGATTCGGTCTGCAAGTGAATTTCTCAAAAACAAAGTGAATTGTTTTTAGAAGCAAACACGATCAAAAAGACGTCTTTCAGATCGATGGAAAACAGTTGGAGATAGTGGAGGAGTATAGTACATCTATCTAGGCAGTATGTTACATCGGCAGGGGTCGCGCTGCATAGGGCCAAAATCTTGGCAATATTTTTATTAAAGTGGCGATAAAAATATAATACTGGCAAATATAATACTTAGCAAGTGAAGATAAAAACTCCCCGCTTCTTTCGACATTCTATGTGAAATTGAATCACAAATCACACTTCGGAAAAGCAGCAAAATGTCGAGATTCCGTACAATGGGAGTCCCGTTCACCAGACACCTAGTATTTCGTGATGTCAAGTGGCAAGTTCGGGTAGAAAAGTAAGAAGTGACGTTCAGAACCGAAGGCAGTTTTGTGCAATGACGCCCAGCGTTTGTAGAGTGGGGATTTTTTGTCGACTGAGAGAAATTTTGGGGAATTTTTTGGGATGACGTTTTTTACTCTTTGATCATTTTTCAGTAGACTAAAACAAAATTTTTGACACGACAGAACCTGCGAAATACTGTTTAAACATTACGATTAACTGTGTTATTCAGAATTATCCATTAAAGATTAATAAAAAATGATTGCTATTGCTAACAAGAGGAGGGACAGACGTTCCGGTCTTCGACTAAAACGAAACTTGATGAGCACGTAGCCTAAACACAAACAGCTCCTTGACCAATAATAGGACACACTTCTCAAACGATCTGAAAAAGGCGCCTCTAAAAATTAAGTGTTTAGCTTAAAAGTCTGTAAGTTGCACATCCCAGAGCGGAGATAGCCGAGTGAATAAACCTAAACAATGTAGGTTTGAACCTTCGGCGTTTTAGTTTTAGTTTAGTTTTTTTTAAATGTCTAACTTTCTTATTTTATCGCATCATTAGCATTATTACTATTATTATTATTCCTCATGTTTAAAGCTTATAAAATGAGAGATTAATAATTGTGACGTCATTTCCTGTTTAGCGAAAACAAGCCTCTGTACATTTAACTGACGTTACTGAACATAGAAGAAAAAGACAAGTAAGATGAAAATAGATTAGCGTAGTCGCAGCGTTTTATTTTTTTAATTAATTGCTAATATTACGGACAATATCCTCACGCGTTCATGTTTGTTACGCTTCAAATGTCACAATGCCACCATACCTGAAAATAAATATAAAGAAAATTTTATTTAACAACGTAAGAGTTAAATCTAGAGAGGCTTGTTTTCCGTAAGCAGGAAATGACGTCACAATTTTTTAAATCTCGTTTTATAAGCTTTAAACGTGAGAAATAATAATAGTAATAATAATGCTAACGATACGGTCAAATAATAAAACAATGCCACACAATAATAAATAAACTAAAATCCCAAACGATCAAACATCGCCTAGATCAAGTGCCTCGCATCTTATTCACTCGGCTATCGCTTCTCTTGGACAAGAAACATCCAGTCTTATAAGCTAAACACTTAATTTTCAGAGGTCACTACTTTGGAAAGGCTTGAAAAGTGGGTCCTATTATTTGGACGAGGAACTGCTTGTGTTTCAGACTACGTGCTCATCAAGTTTCATTCGAATCGGAGACTTGAATGTCGGGTCTTCTCCTTGCTAGTAACGGTTTAATTAACAAGTTACTTTTGCTGTCCAGACGACAAACTGATAAGACTACCGGCACCTTCATTAATTAGTAAGTAGAACTGGTGACGAAAGAAATTTAAAACTGGCGAAACGGTGGCGATATTTTTAAATTTTCCGGAGCGACCTCTGTGTATGTATATACAGTATAAATAATCCGACACTAACCCGATGTAATCCACCGTTGGTCGAGTGGAGTTTTCCGGGCTTTCTTCACGTTTTTTGCGAAACTGGCCCTGCTTAGGTGTTGCTCATAGAAAGTTTCTCCAGGAGGAATCCCCTTCAGCATCTGTTGCCGTAATCAAATAAACCAACCCTATCCTGACGTAAAACTTGTCAAAATTTATTTTGTCCTTAAGAAATCGTGCAAATATTGCAAAAAGCATTTTCCAATTAACGCGCATCTTTTCAAAGCGGCAACGACTTTCCCGTAACGCGTAATACATATGCTAACGTAAGGTGTTATAAGTGACCGCAGCCGTAAACCGGTTCTTTCTAATCTTGTATCGGTGTTAATATAGAGGTTATTGTGTAACCGCTTATCCTCCTAAGAGCCGGCCGAAAATTTTTTTGCTCCACTATACGAAATTACTGGCGAAGAGCTGGAGAAAATGCCTTTCGAGAGAGATTTTTTAAGGGTAACTGGTCCCCTAGTTAGGCGTAACAGAGGTGGAGTAAACCCAGAAAACTCACGTGGCCAGCTCGTCCCGGCCAGAGGTCAACCCACGACCGAACCCGTTTGGCTACCCCTGTTCTTCCGTATGTTTGCATCCTTTATATATTAACCGAACACAAGTCTTCGTGTCGCCATCTAGTGATAGTCGATGAAATTTGTCGTAGTTATTAATGCTTTTTTTTAGCTTAAAAAAAATAATAAAGATTTTAAACATTTTTGATTGTGAAAAATAATATTAAATTAAGAAAGAAAATAGTTTTTAATTTTAAAAAATCTAATTTTACCTTTTTATGAAATTCTAACTTAAACAGAAATTCTTTGTAATGTAGAAGACGTGGTTGCTGTATCTTCAAATTCTTTAATTCTCTACACACACACACAAGAAATTCTTTGTTTAAAAACTTAACGACGTTTTTGAATTTAATAAAATGTAAAAAAAGATTTTTCTTAATTTTTACGTAGGAACCGAGACGGGAAAATAAACGCGCAATAAGCCGAAACACAATTTTGTAAATTGTAAAACTGTCGGGCTAAATTTAACTCTTTCTTACTTCTAGAATAATAAAATAATTACACAATTTATTTGGGCAGGATTTATTGAGGTGAAATTCTGCCATCATTTAAAGCGGGGAGAATCGGTCGGTGGCTCACTCGGACCTAATTACTCGGTAATCGAAACTGCAGTTTATATCAATTGCCACCGGGTGAAAACGTTCCATTGTTTAAATATCAAAGGATACAAATAACGTTTACGATTTCCATCCGATTCCCTTCTAACCACCAACCAATCTTATAATTTGAATATTTTCCAAATTTTAATCGATCGATTTTTGAATTATTATTTTTATAAAATTTGACTTAAGTATCCGACAATAATGATTTATATAAACGTCGCCAGATGGCAGCATTATTTACTCGTATTCTGTGTAATTATATTGCAGTAATTTTAAACGTGTAACGATATTTTCGGCCGATAAATTAATTAAGCGTATTCGGAATAAAAATTACGGTTAATTAAAATAAGAAAGTCTTAAGTTACCTAATTATCGTTAGACGTTTTATAATATAGATAAATGCGGAATAAATGAAAATTGCCACGAAAATACGCGGCGAAAGTACTTTCTCCGCTCGATAAGTAAAAAAATTCGCTTTCGCCGGATCTACCCGTTATTCTACCTACCTGTTTCCCTCTCGACCGCCCCAGTGCGCGTGACCATGCCGGTTGTTACGTATTTGTCACGTGACCGAGAATCGGATTGGAAGCGCGGGTCGTTCTGTGCGGAAAGTCGCCGGTGCCGGTAAGGTGGTCGGTGGAGAGAAAGAAAGACCAAGCTTTTACTTATCTTTTGTTCCACGTTTACCATCGTTGATCCGGTTAAGAACAAAGAAACTTCTCGTCCTTCCCGTACCGCTAGTAATCGAGGAATAGGTGAGTTAACTGCTTTGTTAAGTCGACCGCAATACTTTAAGTGTATATTGGGCCCGCCTTCCAGTTTTCTTACGAAATATAACCGAAACCAGATTTATTATATAAACCATCGATCCCGTCTGCTATTCCCGCGTACGTACTGTACGCGTAGATACCGAATGCGTACGGATAGTTAAAATCCAAACCCGGCGCTGTTGACACTATGCCGGGCGAGGTATCACTTACGTAATGGCGTCGGGATAGTAATACGTAATAATACTTGTTACGGTCACGTTGACCGTGTCAACGCACCGCATTTTCTTGGGAATTTTGCCAAAATTTGCATCGTTCTCTTAAGAATATTTTTAAAAATTTTTGATTTAAATGATCCTTCTGGAAATCACAAAATTTTTATCGGTCTTATTTATACGCTTGATTTTTAATAATTTAAATCGCATCCTATTTTAATTTCAGACGAACTTCATAAGAAAATTGTAGTTAACGTATAGGATGCCGGAGGGAAAATTTATATACGGTACTCCGATGGGTACATTCTTACAATTTTTTATCCGTTACCGTATTAATTTAAGATTTTGTTACGTTAAATTTGAAAGAAAATTAATTTTCGTACCCAGTGTTAAATAAACGTTTGTTTTAATAAATTCCGGTTCAGGTGTACGAGAACGTCTCGGCCGGCAAAAATAGGAATAGTGAAAAGAAGGGGCCAAGTCTGGGTCACTCTCCACCCTGTTTCGCAGGAATTCGGGCAAGGGAAGGTCACCGCATTCGCCGGCAGTCCCGCACTTATTGACTTTAATATTCGAGATGACAAAGTTTTAAAGTGAAAATTTCGTTGTCGTTTATTGTGAAAGTAAGAAGAGGGCCGACGGGAGGTTCTTCGGCTTTCTGTTCTCGGACTTCATCGATCGAGTTGGTCGCTCGGATCCCCATAAATTTTCCGTTTTAAGCACCGACTGCACTTTTGTCCCAACGTCTTTCGGGCAGCCGACTTGTTTTTGAATAAGAAATCGCCGTCTAAAACGTAGAACTTGTGAAATTGAAGGAAATGTCCGATCGATATCCGACCGACGTTTAATTTTCCGGACCGAGATTCTCGAAAGACAGTGGAAATTTTAAGGCATAATTATTGCGGATGATGTTATTTAGTGTAACGGGAATCTTTCGAGCCCCGAGCGGTTTTGGGCCATCGAAGACTGTGCCCGTTCGTATTGTATTAATTGAGAAGGTAGTCGGTTCTCTTGTAATTAATTTACTCGAATTATAGCCCCTGGCTCTTTCGAAATTCGATTTTGGCGAATTAGTTACTTCGTGACTACCCACCTGGGCTTTAGGCTAATTTTTCCCTTACTTTTTTCCATCAGAATGAAAACTATTTTTGCCTTGTATCAGGAAACTCTACTGTTTACAGAAACTGAATTTCTCTGTTCGATCAGTCGTGTACTGCAGTTTGCGATTTAAAATCGATTAAATTCTAATTCATAATCGAGTTCGATGGACTTTGAATAGAGAACTGAAAGAATTCCGTCAGTTAAGAGAATTGGCGCAAAATAATATCGTCCTAATATTTTTGTATATTTGTAAAGAATAAGTTGCTTTCTTTATTTTAAAATTTCTATATCGGATTTAAAAAAACAACAAAATTTCTTTACTGAAAATCTAAACGCTTTTAAAAAGTAATAATTAGGTATAATAGAGAAATAACTAGTCAAACAATTTTAGGATAATTCCATTAAGTAATTGTTTACAAACTATAAATATATTACAAGATTATTTAATATTATATTTGCAATAAATGGCGTATATAAATTTGTACCGTAACCAGTCAAACTGCGATTAGATTTTAAACCGGTTACGATAATTAGATTTATAAAACGGCGTATTTTTCAAATGATTTTTATATCTTTAACGATGTATAAATTCGTTTTAAATTAAAATCGTATTTAATTCGAAAATCAATATTGGGAATTTAATTAAAATAACGTTAATTAAACAAACGCTTATAATCCCTTTTCGAATTTCTTTTAAACGCATTTAAAGTAAATTATGAACTTTAGTTTATAATTAAAAAAAAATATATTTTTTAAAGTAAAAAAAATTAAAAATAAGATAACGTATATTTTAAAAATGAAAATATAATAAGGGAAAGGAAACCGAAAGGAAAAGTAAAAATTAAGGTTCTTTCAGGTTAAAATATACATACCGGATTTTCGTTTCGGAGTACGAGTCAACACTATTTATTATCCTTAAACTTTCATTTTTATAAATACATGTGACTCAAAGAGTAGAAAAATGTTAGTCCAGAGATTTGAAAACGTTACAAAAATAAAAATGACGTCTCTCCTTTCGAACGTATAAAATAAGATAACGACGGGCGGTTTACCAGCATTAGATAAGTTAAAAAATTAATAAATGACCGGAGAAGAATTAGCGTTTTCTCTATCATTTTTAGAAAATTAAATACTGTATTTGATCTCATTCACAACAGTAAAGACATAATATTATCAATAGGAGTATTTGATAATATATTTAAGGCGCGGATGGCCGGTAATGCGTCATTGACGGCACCCTCTTTTTCGGGATATAAAAAAACAATAACACCAGGAAAATGAGAATTTGATTCCTTTTATGGAATTCAATACCTTTCAGGAATTCTCGAGAAGAAAATGCACGGGAGAGGGGGGCGGAAACTGGATAACGATTAACGAGTAGAAACTAGAAGAGTTGTACCATCCAGATTATTTCTTGTAGGGTCAGAATTATAATTTGAAACCAGTCTAGTGGGTGCGGTTGATAAATACCAGTACTCCGTCCAGTCTGGGATGCGATTCATTTTAAACCGAAAGGAAAAACGGTAAAAAAAAAATATAATTATTCGAATATTTTTGCAATTTTTCAAAATTGGATATAGTAATGTTCTTAAAAATTNTTTTGTTTAAAATGTATAAAATAATTCTATCGGATAAATAAATATATATGTTAATATTTAAAGAGAATTTCGGGAAAATTAAATAATATGCTTATAACGAGATTTCCTGCAATTCAATAATTCACAACAATAATAAATTTAACATCTTCAAATACACTGAGCTCGATAAATAAATGAGGAATAGTCGAAATACATATTCACAAAATTAATGGATTAATAATGTATATTTGTATTAAGTAACAAAGTATTTTTTTAAAAAAACTAATTTGATTCGAAATACCAAATAAAATCATATTAAGATCTTATTTTAAAAAAGTGCCTAACTTAATAATGTGAGTTGTTAGTGTTATTCAAATTTGAAACATAATTAAATATAAAAATCATTTATTCAGATGAATGAAAATAAATAAAAGAGCGAGTCGTAAGCTCAGCGATAATTTCGTTTTTGAATATTTTAAATAACGTTAAATGCATTAAAACATCTACTCAAATTTTTTCAAGACTTGTCCAACTCGTCCCGGTCGGAATATTAAATTACTTTTACGTTAGCGTAATATAAAATAGAAAATAAATTTCATTTTATATTTTATATTATGCTAATGTAAAATAAATTTAATATTATAATAATAGAAGTCGGACAAGTTTTGCAAAAAGTCCATCCGTATAAATTTTTAATTCGTATAAATCTTAATTACATTTAACATGAAATTAATTGATATAAATTGAATTATTAATTAAATATTTTATAATGTATTCAAAGTTAAACGTATTTTAATTATAATTTATTTATAAGTTATTAATTGATGTTATTGCGGATGTTTATAATTAGTATAACGAAGGATTATTATAATAATTACGTAGACAAATTAAAAATTAAAAATATTTTTCCGTAAAAGAACTTTTCTTGTTTTAAATTAAAAGAAAAATAAGGTAAACGAGCAATTATTTATTGTGATGTGTTCGCAATGCCGTGCTACAATTTTTTATTAATTTATTTAAAATATATGCTCTCCATCTCAAATTAGTACTGTAGTGTCTTGCCCCTGTATATCATACTTTTTCTTTAACAGAGGGTCCTGCCAGTCATCTATCTAACACCGTTCGGGGGAAAATTTTTGAATTGAAATAACGTGATTTGCTGTTTGCATCACGTTACGGTGACTCGAAGTTCTCATACAGTTAAACGTGGCTTCCTGCACCTAAGGTCTCCTGGTCTTGTCTTTCATCTATCTAACCCCTTTCTCGAGATAAAGGAAAGACAGACAAACGAGCGCCAGTGGGAATTTATACTTCTACAATTTTTTCAAATTGCAGCCGGATAACTGAGTAATATTACGTCATTTTCTTTTCGTAAACGATAAAGGAAAGTAGAAAAAAGTTGTCTTTATTAGAGTATCGCCAGGTTATAGTCCAATATCTTTTATTGTTTGATCGGAGCTTGATAAATAAAATTAGAATTGTTGGTGGCTTACGCCTAGAATACGAAAGGAAAAATTATTGCCGATGAAGGAGGCAAACGTTTCTATCTTTAAAATATTAATACTTACACCAGAACGAGTGTCCGGAAATTATTATTTATCCCGATTTACGTAAAGGATTCATTTCGACGGTTCTCTTCCATCGATTCCGTAGACTTTCTTTATCTGGGTATCGATAATTATCGAAGTTCGTCTTACAATTTTTATATTTTTATACGATAAATACTTTTGTAATATAAATGTAATTAGTTAGTAAATAAATACCCAGCGCCTTAACACCGACCAAAAGTTTTCCAGCAAAGAGTACTTCCGGTCTAATTGCAACCGTCTTCGGGTTCTTTATCTCTCAATACCAGAGTCAATGGATTATCAGGACTCTGAATGCCTATTGTTTTCACCATTAAAAGTAGAGGTAATAAAGAAGATTGCCGATAGATGTACTGCAATCATTTGCTATTGGTTGGTTTATATCTTATGCAGAAAAGCATTGTATCGGTGTAAAATAAATGTTAAAATATCAGTAATTGCACAAGCAACTGTATTTTATACAGCTAGCCTATAAATATTCTTATTTAATACAAGTTAGCTTAAAATAA